TCAACCTTGAGCCGGTGAGATTAGAACCGCTGAACTGCAGATAACCGTCAGCTGAAATGGCCTGCAGTGCTGCACTCCTAACCACTGCGCCACCTCGGCTCTTACATACATACACTTTAACCAATCTCCAGGCAGCTAGGGTAAATGCAGTTGTGTTGGAGGAAAAAAGGATCAGGTTTAGAGAGTCGCAGAGATGTTGGACAACAACACTTTGGTGGTATACAGGCCATTTTCCCACAAAAAACATCCCCAGATATTAAATATGCTTTTTTTTTGTTTCAAGCAAAGAAGAGCCATCAACTCCGTGTCCTTTGCTCAAACACAAAAGGCCAGCAGAAATGAGGATTTTTCCACACCACTGTGGCAGAAGAATCTGAAAAACAAATGATCAGGAAAGTAAGAAGACAACTTAAGTACGCTTTTAATAAAGCTAAAGCTTTTAATAAAGCTAAAGAAAGGTCATTCCAGCAAGTTTCCAATAGCAAGAAAGGAGGGAGAGAGATTCTTCAATTGCTGTTTTGGCAACAGAAAGGAGCACAGTGGGAATTAATTTGGACTTCTCCTTTGGGGTATTACAAATGAGCTTCTTCTGCTTCTTGGCTCTAGAAGACCTGGTGGGCCTTTGTAAAAACTTCCACTAACTCCCAGTGCAGTTTTCTTAAACCAAAATGTTTTTTTGTATGCGTATATATGCGTTTGTGTAATAAATATTTATGGCCAGTTGTGAATTTATGTTTTTATGTCCTATGGCCCAAGGTAAGTAAGTAAGTATAATCTTTATTGTCATTGTACTTAAATACAACAAAATTGGTGAATGAAGAACAGGTTTACACTACTTTATCTGCTAGAACAGGATCAGATAAAGTAGTGGATCTGCTAGTACAGAACTCTTGATTTCTTGAATAAGCTACGAATTGGCTTCGGTGAAATACTCCAATAAATTCCTACTGTTGGACTCTGTGAAAATTTACTACACAAAATGGGTGTGCTTTCCAACCCTCTGGCTCCATCCAGTGAATCAGGAAGTGAAAATTGTATCATGATGTACTGGGTACGGACACAGACTAGAAGGAAAGTGGGAAAGAGCAAGGAGGACTCTTTCCTACAATGAGGAAGCTGTTGTAAAGACTGACATATATTGTTTATTGTGTTCGGAAAGCTGGTTGTAAAGCAGACGGAATGAGAGGAAAAGTATCTAAGTACAGTACCTCATTGTAACAGCAATTACCGAAAAAACCACTCCTTGTACTATTTATAAATATCTAGTGCAGTGTTTCTCAACCTTGGTAACTTGAAGATGTCCGGACTTCAACTCCCAGAATTCCTCAGCCAGCATTCACTGGGAGTTGAAGTCCGGACATCTTCAAGTTGCCAAGGTTGAGAAACACTGTCCTAGCCACTGTCTTTCCACTGAAGAGGATGAAGGTATCTGAGGCTTTAAATCTCTAAGTATACACCACTTCCTTTTGTTATACTTTCTATGTATTCATTATGCATTAATTTTACATCTCTTTTCTAGCCAATTATACCACCTATTCCATGTCTTGTAATACTGTTTCCTCTCTATCCCTTAGTTCCATCATTAAT